AAATTTCTTATACGGGTCTATAATGGAGATTTAGAAATTCCGCTTAGTAGATCTTAGTTAATAACTGTCAGGAATCTGAGATGTTTAAAATCTTTATATATAGTATCTCTAGCTTCATTCTGCGTTAACCGATTTTGATACAATTTTCATCATGCGTACGAGTTACCGAGATCATCAAAATTCAATTTTTAAATTCTCTTTATAGGTTCGGATAAAAAAGTTAAAGAAAAACATTATCTCTTAGCATTATTACCATTCCAATCAATTGCAATCTAAAGAAATGTTGTATTACTCGTTTACTCGTAGAAACTAGCCGGAGTAACGTCTAAAAAAGATTCATGTCATTTCAACTTATTTTAAAAAAATTATTCCATTTGAAATACTATTGACATACTTCCTGCAACAAGCGTATGTTTGTACCTCAATGTTTTCACGTTAACGGGGCACAATATAATATAGAATGCATATCAACTTACTTCGACTACTAGTGTCACGAAAAGTCTTAACAAGAGAATCATAGAAACGAACAGAAAGAGGAACTATATACTCCTTATATGGTAAGTATATATTACATATACTCCTTCTATATGGAAAATTTCCTGCAGAATATATCACGTGTAGATTATAAGTTCATTTCTAAATGCAATTCGAACTTTACAACATAACTGCTTAACAGTATGCGGTTTTCGTGTGCGATGTGGTGAAGAATAATAATCTCGTAGAATGATTGTATTTATCTGTTCATTGTCCACATGAAATGTGCATTTGGTATACAGGACACTACTTCAAATCATTTAATATCCAAAACATTTTTTTTTATTATTGTATTGACATCTGGAACCGGTGCCCATTCCATATTGGTGTTCCCGTTAAAAGTGCCGATTAACACTTTCTCTAAACAAACAAATGTATAGAGTTTTTATCATTATGCTTACAACGAAGATACTAAAAAAGTGTAATAAGTAGACATAATCAAATGCGACCTTACCTTGCAAATCTTAGCTACTACTGGATGTTTGCATAACAAGTGTTTCGGCAATTTACACGCTGCTGGTAGCTGGTAAAAAATAGACGACATCAGAATTATTTCAGGTCTAAAACGGAAGATGTGGTTATATTGGAAGTACAGTAAATTTACCCTAATTAATTTTCAGGGTGCAAACAAAAATGGACAATTTGAAAAGTGAAGATATGGTTATTCTAGCCTTGCACCTTTTCTTATAGTCGTTGACAATTGGCAACCATAAAAACGAGCCGCAAGGCTTGAATGATTGCATTGATTCTTCCAGAACGGTCTATTTTGTTTACAAGCTCTGAGGGACAATTAAAAATACTCTTGAAGAATGAACCCTACATCTTCTATTTATTATAAATAAATACAACTTTAAGAATCAACATGAGTGCACAAAAAAAGAAAATATTAGTTATTTATATTTATAATCGCAGATGAGCATATATCGTAGGTATCATAACACTAGGTTGAACTTTATTTTTAATATAGTGGTTTTGAATGCAGTGAATAGTACTAATTCGACTTCTTAGAGAGCGGCGTTTGTGATCTCTCTCTCTCTCTCTCTCTCTCTCTCTCTCTCCTTTAAAATTTATAAATCGAATAATTAAAATTTTCCTCATTGACACAGATATAAGGTTTCAAAAATTATTTTCTTTTTGTTAGTCAAGCCAGTTGAAATTTTTTCGCAAGTTCTTATACGTATTATCTAATAAACTAATACTTCTAAAAACATACAAAAATTAGACTTATGTTGCTTCTATTTGATACAATTATGTCTCTTCTTCATGATTCTCCGCGAATGCGGAGAGAAATCTACTTTTATTATTACTATACTCGTCTATCGATAAGTATTTGCTTTTGAAGGATCTTTACTATTTGATTTTTTGCTACGGATATTTTAGATAAAATTAGGCAAAGATCCGCATGGGATGTGATCCACACATGATGAACACGTAGATGACAAAAGATCGAGATGTATTGTTCACATTTATCATAATACAAGTCTTTGATACATAATCTAGGTTTTTGAAGAAAATTTTCTTGGCACTACGAACAAGTTTCCAACGCAATGAGTTAAAAATGATTGTTCTAGAGTTATAGCTAGACTGCGAGAGTTTATGCAAATGAATAATCCAGTAAAATCATCTTAACAAATGAAGAAACTGAAATATATTTCATCATTAAAAGATATAAAAATATATATTTTCCTGTTACATATGTTGGAATATCCAGAAATTCTAAAATTTTTAAAGCACTGCCAATTATTCTCACCAAAAATTCTGCATGCATTCTAATACATAGAAGTATTATGTTTTGTATTAAATTAAAAAGCAGTTACTTTGGAGATTTAATACTTTAAAAATGCATAGAGTTAATAAAATAAAAAGTTAATACAGTTAATATAGTTGAAAAGGTATAGAAATATTTTAGTTGTATGACATGAATAATATTATATTTTGATTTTAATGTAAAAACGTTAATACTTGAATTTGTGTAACGTTAAATTTATTTTTAAGTACGTCACATTGTATACAAAATTAGATACGTTGATTAAATATGATTTTACGAATTTCTTAGTATCTATGCAAATGCAGATTTATCGAAGCTATGATATATATAGTTTATATATATCTTGCATAGAGTTTGTATATTCCCGCATATACATAGTCTGCATATTCATTGCAAATCGTAAGTGCATAAACTTCTACATATTAATTATAACGTGCGTGAGAACTGTGTGCGTTGTCGGAACAGCCGTGAGGTTTCGATTACCGTTAGGATATTCTTCGAGTTGCATTACAGCCGACCGAAAAAATATGAGATAAGATGGATTTTATTCGGAACGTAACAAATGCAATAATGTTAAATGCAGATTAACTTACTCCATCTGCTGGTGTCACGAAAATTCCTGACATCAAAATCATGGAAATGAACAAAAAGAGGAGTTGTAGTTTGTGGTTCATGGTTGCAGGTTCTGTTGTACTAAGATTGTCAGTAGCTAATAACTGTCACAGTGGTTTCCTCTTTTTATATGGAAAACTTCGTGCAGAATATTCCGAAAATATAGATTATAATACTCGAAAATACAATTCCAACTTCACACGATAAATGTTTAACTGCGGTTTTCGTGTAGGACGTGACAAAGTGGTAGATGTGTTATCATTGGAAGTAGGGTAAGTGTATCAATGCCGATTAAAGTGACGGCCAAAGTTTTCACCGAATTAAGTCGGTTCTTTAACCTACGTTTCACTTCTTAAAACATTTTGATTATATGTTGATACATTTTATGTCAGTACAAATTTTTTCATAACTAAATCATGTAAACAATACGAAATATTTCACAAAAGATACATAACAATTTTTGAGGAAGTTACTGCTCCCTTGAAGAGATGAAAGTTAATTATTGTGTCTCAGTTACCGAGCCTTTTCTAGTTACTGTGTGTCAATATCCGTAGACTAATCCAATTACTGTGCTTCAATTACCGTGATTAGTTCTATGTAGATAATTCTATAACAGAAATGTAAAATCATGAAATATTTCGTTTTAAATTATTTAGCATAAATTATTATAAAATATATGTTTCAATACTTACTATATTCTTCAAAATAGGAAAGAAAACCATCTGCAGCATACACACATTTTACGATTTAAGAATATAATGTTAGGAGTAACCCGCTGTTTGTCATGAGAGGACCCAGTAATCAATGCGCGCATCGAAAAAGCCATGAAATCATAATCTAGTTACATTGCACCGTAATACAAATAAGACGTAAATCTCATTTAGTACATTAAATAAAATATATTTCTAAGTATAGTCGACTTATTATTGTCTTTTCTGTATTTTAACCGAGTTTTATTAATATCATTTCTTATTTTTTTAGTTTGGAAAGCATCATCTTAACTTTTTTCATCCCTATTTGCAACGTGTTTCTGAAGTGTCTTAACAAGATCAAGGAAAGAACACATCAAAGCAATTTTAGGAATCTAAGACTGAAGATTACGCATTTTCTAGGTACTTTAATTTGGTTATAAAAATTAGAGATGAAATATAATTTCAAATATTCAATATTTTTAATTGAATAATGCTATTTTTAAATATATACATAAGATTATTGTGAGGACACAGTAATCAGGGAGGAGCACAGTAAGTGTCACACATATATATTATAATATTTTACATACTGCCACACAGCTATTGCATAGCACGGTCAGACTGCTACATGAATGTAACGTGCACGGATCTTGATTTCACGCAACAAGATCTGCTAAGAACATTTGGATATACTTAATTCTAAATCCATTAACGTAGATAAAAAAAGAAATTACGCTGCAAGTTTCAGAATAGCATATAATGCGAATGGATTACTACGTTCTTGCTCTATTGAAACAATGAATTCAATAATTATGCATTCTTCGAAACATTTATAAGGAAATCCTGTAATTTAAAGTTAATTTAATTTATATTAGTTCTACCGAAAAGTTTTGTCCATTTCTGAAGTGAAAGGAAATAATAAATTATTCATATATTTAATAATATTTATTGTACAATATAATTTGCGTCGTTGTTTATTACAATTTGTAAATATGATTTTTGAAAAATATATGTCTCAAATAAACATGTGCATTTTTATGTTTTATTTCACCCGCTTTTTTAACATTTTGGCATGTGCAAATTACATTTTAACATATAAGTATATGAATTTTTGAAAATGTCATTTCATCACAGGCCACTGTGATTCTGACCTAGTCATATAAAGATGCTTTTTGCAAAAATTCATTATAGGTTTCCACTACTAGGAACATAGTACAAAATTTATATTCTGTTTTTCAAAAAGTGATTTCGACGTGAAAGTGAAAAGTTCTACGCACACTGGTACCTATTTTGATTCTAGCGGACCGTTTGAAAATAAGTAAGATAAGTAGCATTGTAATTTATCCCCTCACACTACGACCCCTTTCGTAGCTATGATGATGAAAAACTTCCTATACGCTTGAACAAAAACTTTTATTTATTTCTTGTTAACCTTTACATTAATGTTTAAATGTTGATGATTAAGGAGTAGTATTTTATATCCCTGCAAAAGCAGTACATAGCATCCAATAAGTATATATATATATATATAATAATAATAATAGGGTAATACCATAAAGTAATACTAAATCATGAATTTTTTTAAAAACACTCACGAAGACTGAACTTTCTGTTCAGTTCATTATAAAGAAATCCAATTTCAAAAATCAATATGAGTGCCTCAAGGAAGAAATTACTCGACATTTATAATTATAGTTGTAGATGAGAAAGTATTGTGGATATGATAATGCAACAACTATAAAAGCGAGGCGCGAGGCTCAAATAATCGTATCTCCTCTTCCCAAGTTGTCCATTTTTGTTTACAAGCTGTGGAACAATTGGGAAGAATTCAGTGTTCCAGGTTGAACTTTTGTAACATAGTGGATTTGGAAGCAATTAGTAATTCAACTTATCAGTGAGCGGTGTTTGTGCAGCTCTGAAATTTATAAATTGCATTGCTTAAATGCTTGTTATTCGCTCAGACACAATGTTTGAATAACGTAATTTTCTCACTTTGCTTTCATTATTCAATCGATTTGAAATTTTTCCAAAAGTTCTATTGCGAATTCTTTTACTAGTGTTTTCAACTTTCAACAAAAATTAAACTCATGTAGCTTCCTTTTCATGGAATGATAACAGGTCAAGAATATAATCAGGAGTGATGATCTATTGCTGAAAAAAGCATATTAGTTAAACAACGTACAACACATACGACGCTATGTATTTTTACAAATTAAATCATCGTCTAAGGAAGAGCATTATGTCCGTTTCATTAATAAATGCAGTAAATAATCTAATAGGTAAACAAATTTTTCACCATATTAAATATCTTTGTAAGATAAAATTGCAAACGGAATAACTTTTTTTAAACTTGTCCATGATTTGAATTTTTTGAGTTATTAGTCCATTTAGTT